TATTCATAATGATAATAATAATAATAATAATAATTCTGGTTGTTGTTTTCGTCGTTGTTGTTGCTGTTGTTGCTGTTGTTGTTTTTATTTTTTTCTTTAATAATTTGAAATTTATGTCGGCATTGTCCATCATTTATTGTTGTTTAATGGATAAGCATAGGCAAATAAAATTGCTATTGCTGTTATGGTTGTTGTGGTTATTATTATTATTATTGCTGTTATTATAATAATATTAATAATTATTATTATAATAATTATTTTTGTTATTAATTATTCTTTTTCTGGTCTTTTTGGTATTATAGCGCTATTATCAGTGCTCTGGGGCTTTAGTTAAATTCTTCTCAACTTTCTGTCTCCAATCATCATCATCTTCTTCTGCTTCATCTTCTTCACCATCATTACTATCATCATTATCTTCTTTTACTTCTACTTCTTTTTCTTCTTCTTCATCTTCATCATCATCATCATCATCGTCGTCGTCGTCATCGTCGTCTTCTTCTTCATCGTCATCATCATCATCACTATCATTGTTATCCACCTCATCATCATCATCATCATCATCATCATCATCATCGTCATCATCATCATCATCATCATCATCATCATCATCATCATCATCAGCAACAACAGCAACAACGTCATCATCGTCGTCGTCATCATCTTTCTTCTTAATTACAATCTAGAATGTCAAATTTGACAAAACGCAATACCCCAAAACGTCATAACAATAGCAAAAATAATAAAAATAACAATAACTATAAAAATATTATTATTAAAAATAACAATAATAATATTAATAATTTTATTTATTTTTTTTTATTTACCTAAAACAGTTAGTAACGCCAGACGCACTGTTTACATTATTTGGTTGGTACTTATAAGGTTGATTGGTTGAATAATTGGTTGGTTGGTTGAATAAATGATTGGTTGGTTGGTTGGCTGGCTGGCTAGTTGGTTGGTTGGTTGGTTGATTGGTTGATTGATTGATTGGTTGGTTAGTTGATTGGTTGATTGGTTGATTGGTTGGATGGTTGGTTGAATTTCATTGGTCAAGGTTATTTTCTTTAAAAAATCCATACATCCAAACAAAATTAATAATGATAGAAGCCACATACTTATAAAATATTATGCAAATAACTCAAGTAATTGTAATAAATTATGTTAATGTGCACAGGCGTGTATGGAGATGTTCTGAGGGTGAAGATAATGTTCAACAAGAAGGACAATGCTCTCGTGCAGTTCGTTGACGGTGCTCAAGCCCAGATTGGTGAATAAATTATGATAATTAGGATGGCTATTCAAATGATAATGATGACGACGACGACGACGACGATGAATATTAGTATAATTATTATTATAACTGCTACTGCAGCTGTGACGATGATGATGATGATGACGATGATGATGAAATGTTTTATCGATGAATTAATCAATCATTCGGTTCCAGATATCGTTCCAATGATGGATGATTTTACTACTACTACTACTACTACTACTACTACTACTACTACTACTACTACTACTACTACTACTACTACTACTACTACTACTGCTGCTGCTGCTGCTGCTGCTGCTGCTGCCTCCTACTACTACTACTGCCGCTTTTACTACCATTACTCTAAATATCACCGTCATAAAAAATGCAAAAAATTATTTTATCAAATTAAACATAATAGAATAAGTCAATGAAATCATAATTACCATCATCATACTCATCATCTCTATGATCATCATCATTATCTTCATCATTCTCATCATAATCATAACCAGCTCTGACCCATCTGGACAAGGTCACGTTGTGGGGCAAGGTCATCAAAGTAGCCCTCTCCAAGCATTCGGTCGTCCAGATGCCCAAAGAAGGCCAGCCGGTAATTATTATCGTCGTAATTATATATAATTATAATATAATTATAACTTGTTTTATATTTTAATTTTTGTTGTAATGATAATAATTATCATCAACAATATTAACTTCGACGTCATCATCATCGGTATCCCCATCATCAACACCA